ACCACGCCACCCCACATCACACCACGCCACCCCACATCACGCTACACCACGCCACCCCACATCACACCACACCACCCCACATCACACCACACCACGCCACCCCACATCACACCACACCACGCCACCCCTCATCACACCACACCACGCCACCCCTCATCACACCACGCCATCCCACCCCACATCACACCACACCTCGCCACGCCAAATCACGTCACACTACACCACACCACACCACACCACACCGTCCTCATCGGATTGTGTGCCCAGCACAAGTTTTTGCCTCGACTTTTGGCCTTCCAGATACACGTCGCCTTAGGGCGTGTACAGAGGGTGAAAATAGAAGAACATATTTAGAAAAGTACACTTTGCATAGGGACATACATTTTCAAAGTAAACGCTTCTAAATCTGTTCTTCCAATTTTGCCCATTTTGAAGAGAAGACCATTTAATCCTTTTCCCGAATTGCTTATTGCTTGGGAGGGGGGGGGGAGAGAGATTTATAGTTAGTTTTTGTGAGGGGGTTTCCGCGGTGTGGGGTTTCAATAATCAAAACCCGCAGTGCCTTTGAAGCGTCTATTTGAAGTTCAACAAACATTTTTCCCCTCAAACTTTATAATTGGCCTTATGCTTAGCCCCCTTATCAAGCCTTATTTTCCTTTCAAAAAGTGCTGTGTGTGGCATAACCTTTTGTTGAAAACACAATGGGTTCAAGTACTGTCTGAAGCTATCGAGTCAATCACTTCAATACGCTAGGCGTACGGAGACAGCTCATAGCCGTACTGAGACGCGAATGTAAACACTGGGGGTATGGGATTTTTATCCCCCGCTGCAATTACCTGGGTTGACGAATGGGTAAAGGTGATTTTTGGGGGGTAAAGGTGATGTTTGAAAAATTCAGTTTTGTTTTTGTTGTTATTGTTGCTGTTGTTGTTCTTGTTGTTTGTTCCTCTAGGGTGTTATATTAAGGATTTCTTTCAAGATTAAATGTGCTTGATCCATTTTCTCCTTAAGAAATGTCTGTTATAAAAATACAATTATTAAACGAGACTCCATTTGAACCTCTTCTGGGGGCCCGGGGGCCTTATAATTTGTAAAATTAGTAACGAAAAAAAGGAGGGGGAAAAAAATAAAAATTATCAAATGAAATCTGGGTCAGTTGTCAAATCTCTTAGCAGGGTAAGTCCGTTCCGACGTCGGCAGGATATCAACTCTGCAAGCAGAATTTTAGAATTTTATGTCACTCCGAGAATCTATCAAAGCGCAGCCTCTGCAGTTGCGAGCACCGTAAAACTCCTACAAATACAAACAAAAGCGCAGCCTCATACTCTCACACCAGCACGCACACTCCTGACCACGAATATAACATGTACACGACGCATTTTTATTAAACTCACCCGCAACTGAGCGCTGTAATCGAACAATGGGGATTTACAACAGCCTCCACCCACCAAACAGGGATACACACAAGCAAATACGTCCCACCAGAAATTATTACGGCCCAAAAGGCAATAAAACTAGCTACTTTAAGGCTCGAATACATTCTCTTCCTTGCCCCCTTTTTTCTATCTCTGCCCAACACTTTCTCTCTCTCTCTCTCTCTCTCTC